ACGTGTAAGGTTGCCTATAGCCTTGGTCATGTTATAGTTGTTCATCCGAAAGAAAAATAACACAATCAATAACATCGCCTCGTCGCCAGAAGCGTTAATTACCAAACAACTAACATCACAAATAACCATGACATTGTTTTGTACGAATTGTTCACGGTTATGCAGATCGCTGTAAGGTTATTTAAGTAATAATATTAGTATATAAATTTTCTAACGTAAACAATTGACAATTAAAAGTTTCGTGATTGGCATTGTCTAAATTTCAGTATTGCAGTAATGTTTAGGATAAACAACTTGCATGTTTAAATTAGACATTGTAAACATATATCACAGGCTAACTGGAATTTTATAAATACATTGTTTAGTAATTGTATTCAGTAGTGGCAACTTTGCAATGATTTAACCATAAGACACCCCCCCCTGGTAATAACGTGACCATGCCAATAGCTGCGGTGATTGGCTGGTCGCAGGTTTACTCTGACATGCCTCAGAGTAGAGTTTGTAAGATTTTGTTAGAGGGGAAGCAGACAGGAATATAATGAACTAATGTGTAATTCTTTTGGTTCGAACAAGGTATATCTAAAGTGTTAGAGTCATCTGCACGCTCGCCTTACTCATTAAGTTTATATTCGTGAAATGACAAAACAAATCATACATACGATTTTTAGAACATCCGAACGCGGTATTGCTCAAATCTCATATATAATACTTAATGTCCCTCTAACAATCTAACAGAAATCCCTGATTAATTAATGGTATTTCCCTTCAGAAATATACTATGTAAAATCGGGTGTGCTAATTTATTCACGGAACAGTATACTTGTTTAAAAAGGATTGCCAGTTGATTGATCTCGATATGTTGTTTTCTCTCTGGATCTCCATCAGGTTAGTATATATATTTCACATCGCATGACACTATTGTATTTTATTTTCATCCATTCTAAATGAATGTTAAAAAATGTTAAATCTCAAATCAACAAGTTGTGCGTAATCATTTTTATCATGCTAGTGGATCTGAGGTAATGAAAAGCGCAGCCGTCTTCACCCAATGTATTCTTGCATTCGGGCATATATGCAATTATAGATACACTGCTACCATTTCGTTATTATTTCGTACACGTTTATGTATAATGAAGTACATACAATTTGGTTTCAGATATAAAATCACGATGTACCCAAAGTTAGCAAAAACGATTGTTGTCATAGTTACATATCTCCAGTGTGCATATGCCGGTATATTTATATCACCGTCTACACATTCATAAATCGCGCCCTCCCGTGACGAAAATCTTCTTTGACGAAAATGGGTTACACGAAGATCGTTCAAATTGTTTCTATTTGTAATCTTTCATCAATCAATTTTTTTTTCCACTGTATTTTATAAGACAAACGACTACACAACCAAACACAGTACAGTTGCATATCGCCCAGAACATTGCGCGAGCTAGATTACTTTATGCTTTACTCTTGATGTCGAGGCATTATTTGTCTATTTGTTAGGTCATTTGAAACATGGGATCGGGAACATTTCAGTAAGGATTGCACCATTAGAAATACTAGGTCGATAGCGGAATTGGAAAAAAATACACAGGGAAAAATTATGGAAAAAAATTAGAATAGAAACAAAAAAATAAATCTGCACGTCTGTTTCTTATGGAATGGTAATTAGAGCAATAGAAAAATACAGCGAATTCGTCATTGTATTAAATAGTTTTTCTGTCATCCCCAATGTTTCTAATGTTTCTATTCATCTCTAACTGTACGTCACATTATGTTTGATTTTCGCATTAATTACCTACCTCCAAATTTACGGTGTCGAATGTAAAAAAA